TTGCATGTACCGTTGCGTCCATGTGCGGACGGGTAGCATAACCTGCCAGTGTGTTGCCGCTGGTAGTGAGCCTTCCACAACGCAGTAGAGATGTCCCTCGTGGGTCGTTTCGGTCGCGGATGTGACGCTGGCACCGCCGTTTTCCGCAATATGCGAGAGATCAACGCCAAGCAGCGACTCACACTCCACCGCCGGCCTCACGACGCTCAGGCGTCCATCCCCAGCGCCTTGAAGCACGCGTGCATCTCGTGATGCTCCGTCACCGATTGAAACAGCCTCAGCGGTATTGGGAGCATTACCAGTAGTTGACTCTGAGCTGTATGTTCTTACACTGGTAGCATTTCCAGTGTCGATACCAGTCGACAGCTTCGACATTAAGAGCGCATCACACGTCGCTTCCAGTTTGGATAATGGCGTCGTCACAATTGACCCGGCAGAGCAAACAGCTAGAGCAATTGACAGCAGCAGCAAGACATGGAGAGCGGGAGCTTGTAGCCTTCAAGGTTGAGGTTACCCACAGAGTAGGCGCTGACGCCGGCCACGACGTTGGCGCCACGGCCAGTAGCCTGGACGTCACGGATACGGCCGCCCGTGCCAGTCTCAGCTCCAGGGAACGGGGCCACACCGGACGGGAAGTTGTGGGTCTCGGCCGTCAGCAACAAGTGGCTGTCGAGCGTGCGCTCCTGCACGGCCGAGGGCTCGCCGGGGTTCACAGGGCCCAGAGTCACAATGTTGGCGCCCTTAATGACCGACGAGTTGTCGTGGAAGGCGATGACGCTGTTCTTCTTGGCGTTCTCCGTGAGCGTGTTCTTGACCATCTGGAAGAGCGTCTGGGGCATCTCCTTGCCGTCCACGACGATCTTTCCGCCGAAGAACCAGTGACGCGAGTGCTCCGAGTTACTCTGGCCCATGTCAAAGCACTCAACATCCGTCGGGTTGCGTTTCAGCTTCTCCTTGAACAGGTTGAGGTAGTACTGCAGGTCCCAGTCGTCGAAGCCCAGGCCGATCTCCTCGTTGATCTCCTTAAGCGCGTCAATGCCGCGCTCCATGATGGGGATCTTACGGACGGGCTGCACCGTCTTGCCGTGCCAGAAGCTGGTCAGAGGTTCCTCGTACACCTGCTGCGTCATGCGGTCGCATTCGTGACGAAGCAGTGCCTGCTTGAGCGCCTCAACGGCCTCGGGCTTGGTGGCCGTGTAGCGCACCAAGTAGCGGGTTGCCCGCTCAATGCGCTTGATGGCCGAGATGCCACAGGCCTGGCAGATAGCCACGGCGTTGCTGGACCAGGCCGTGGAGAAGTTCATGCGTGGCCCGACCTCCACGAGCCATTCCTTGCTCTGCTCCGTGGTGGCCAGGAAGGACTGGTCCGGTCGCGTCTGCTGCGGCTCGAAGGTTTCGCTCAGCAGCCAGTGGAGCGTCTCCTGATCGGCGGCCGACAGCGGGCCGGCATCGGCCTTGGTCTCCACGTAGAAGCAATACTCGGTCACGAGCTCATCCACCTGTAGGCCGGCGTCAGCGCCCACCTGAGCGCGCAGGTAGGCCAGCAACGTACGGTTGGCGTGGGCCGTGAAAGCCGGCGTGCGGTAGAAGCGCAGCAACGAGCTGGCGGTCGAGATGGACGCCGTCTTCTGCTTCTTCTCGGGCGACGAGGCCATGGTCAGAGAGGTGGGTGAAGCTCGTAGAGCGGACGGTAGGGCGGACACTGCAAATTGCGTAGTGCGTGTTGCATCTTGCAGCGATGACCAGTCGCTTTATATGGCTACAGGTTTAGACCAATCGAACACCAGAATGGATTGTTTTCAGCCAATGGGACGTGGAAATGGGACCAAGCAGCGCAATGCTTGGACAGCAGGCTTTGCGGATTGACGATTTGCAAGGTGCGGTGACCACCGGGTGTGGATACGAAGCCTGCATCCATCAAGGCATTCCAGCAAGCGGTACATGGAGCTCGTCATGCATTTTCTAAAGGCTATCACGATGCAGATATGCGCCTGTTTCAGCTATTCTAACAGGAAAACGAACAGCGTTTTAACACTGACAATAAGTAAAAGCGGATAAATAGGTTAAAACAGCGCCAAAACTTTCGATCCTGAACATTTTCCCGCCAATCTATGTAGTTGTTTTTTGTCCAATCACCATTGTTCAGGATTTCAACCAATCATGATCGCTTCCGATCTCCACCTCACATCAAGCGTCAACTTCAGCAACAAGATGCTGCAACGTGGGGTGGTGCGCGTCGCGCGCGGCTTGCGTTCGTCTTCAGCTCGCACTTCGGCGTCCAAGTATTTCAGCAATAGCGCACAATTCAGCTCGGGTCGTTCCCGGTTTGCGGCTTCCGTTTCCGCCTCTCCGCTCCTCCCCAGTGCTGGTCTCGTAGCCGCCGCTACTGTCAGTACCAGTGCCGCCTGCGCCTTCTGCTCTGCTCCCGCCGTGGAGTCTCGTGCCGTGCCGAAACATGGTGGAGCACTACCCAACGTGGTTCTATACCAGTACGAACCATGTCCGTATTGCTGCAAGGTGAAGGCCGTATTGGACTACCTTAAGATCCCGTACGAGGTGGTGGAGGTGAATCCGCTCACCAAGAAGGAAACCAAGGCTTTCACGGACTACCGCAAGGTACCGGTTGTCCGCATCAACGATGAAGTGGTCGTAGACTCCTCTGCTATCATTTCGCGACTACGGGAGCTCGTGGAAGTACCCAAGGACGCGCAGAGTGAGGAGGCCCTGAAGGAGGAGGAAGAGTGGCGTCAATGGGTCGACAAGAAACTCATCCTACTGACTCCGCCTAACATTTACCGCACTGTACCGGAGGCTCTGCAGGCTTTCGACTATTGCTTGACAGAAGGCAAGTTTACTCCCATGGAACGCCGTATGTCCAAGTACGCGGGTGCTGTGATCATGTACCTTATCGCGAAGCGGTCCAAGAAGAAATACAACATCGACGACGAACGTGAAGCGCTCTACTCGGCACTGAACAGCTGGGTGGACGCTATTGGTGACAAACATCCGTTCCTCGGAGGTGACGAGCCCAACATGGCCGATCTCTCGGTCTTTGGTGTGTTGCGTGCCATGCACGGCCTGGACACGTACAACGACATGATGCGTGAGACCAACATCGAGCCCTGGTTCACGCGCATGACGGCCAAGGTCGGACCCAGCTCACGTACAGCTAGCAACTAGATGCAACAGAAAGAAAATAACAAGGTTTGAGTTTGACGGACTACCTACTCTGTCCGCGGCACATCGGCTCAAAGAAGCTCTGTCCTG